TTTATTTTAAAGATTTATCTACTGGTTATTATAGTTACAAAAGAATAGTACATATATAATTTTTGTTAAATCAAATAGCGCATATACAAACAACGCATATATACAAATCAATAAAATGAGTTTGTCTAGTGAAGCAAAAAAACGTTTGCGTGAAGAATTTCAACAACAGCGTCTAAAACAGGAATTGGCTGAATATAACGAAGCGAAAATAATTCTCAAAGGTTTAACAGATCTTGACTATAAACCTGGTCATAGAAAACATACATATTACAAATACTGGCTTCCATCTAACGGCTATGCCAACTCTGCTGATAGAGATGAAACCTCACTTTTAGAAACATACAAACCCGAAGAGCTTTATTCTCAATATATAATTCGGACGGCAGGGAAAGGTTATACAGTGATCGATCATCCTTCTGAAGTTTATAGAATGCCAAATACACACGAATGTATTGATGGAAACCAGCCTCTTCGTTTAATAATTGATATTGATGCAAGACAAAAACCCGATCCTATAAATTCTGAGCTCCCTTCTTTAGATAGTGAAAAAATTACTCGCGATGATTTGATGTCTCGAATTTTAGTTGCTTGTGCTGATGCATTAAACCTAATACCAGATTGTATACCTTTATTAAATTCTTTTGCCTTAGCGAGCTCGTCAAACGCTGAGAAATGTAGCTGGCATATCATTTATCCTCGCGCCCAATTTGTAGATTATAGAGAACTCAAGGGTTTTACGGAAAAAGTTATGAAATTAGTTGGAGAACCTTATGCCAAATTCATTGATGTTGGCCTTCCCAAATCACGTTTTAGTCTTCGACTTCTAGGATCAGCGAAGGAGGGTCGTATAAAAAGACCTGCTATCTCTTCCATAAAAAATGGATTTCAAAAGCTAGAGGATTATCTGGTTCAGCCTAAAGAGAATTATTCTGTGATCTGGCCACGAACCTTTTCAGAGGAGAGGCCAGCAGAAGAGGAATACCAACCTATCGATGATGAAAATGCCTTGGTTAAGGGAGCCAATTTAGTTATTGCAAATTACGGGTGGCTCCAGATTGGAAGAACCGAGAAGGGCTTCATCAACTTTCAAACACAATCCGTTAAAGAATGTCCTATATGCGACGTTAAACATGAGAAAGATCAACTCTATGGATTTATTCGAAAAAATGGGCATTTTGTACTTAAGTGTTATCGCCAAAAACAATACAAGCTGGATCACAAGGGTCTTAGCTTCGATAAGGTATCAGACAAAGTCGAATCAAAAGAAAAGCCTAAATGGAGATTATGCGAAAGATTACCTAAGGCTGTATTAACTCCACATCAATTTCCCGAATTACCTGGAGAAAGTATTAATGTAAAAGAGATGGAGGACGCTTTAGATGCTTTTCCAGACTTTTTAAGTGAAGAGCCTAGCACCACTCTTATTCGTTCTACTGTAGGTACTGGAAAAACAAAAACATTAAGAAAGATTTTGGCATCTTTAGCTCAAAGTGGTGCCAATTTACCTTGTACTATCTGGGTTTCATATCGCAAAACCCTTAGTAATGAATCCGAAGCTAAACTTAAAGAATTGGAAAAATTCGATTTCAAAGTAGGGCAATATCAGAATATTGTGGCCGACCTAAAGACACGTGAGTGGGATCTTATTATTGTACAAGTTGAAAGTATTCTTCGTCTTGATTTTCAAGGGGGTCGTTCCTGTATAGCAATTTTAGATGAAGCGAATGCCACTATGCGTCAAATGACTAGTGGAGTTCACGCTCGAGAATCTTCCAATGCTATGCGTGATTTCTTAAATGTAGCTACTCATGTTGTTGCCATGGATGCATTTGCAAACGATACGACTTTAGCTTTCTTAAAATCATATCGGGGTGAGAATGTTCGAGTTATTGATAACAAATTTCAACCACGTAGAGGAGAAATTGTTAAACTTCTTTACGATCCAGATAAAGGTTCAGAAGCTATACGTAGAGGTCTTAGGATGCTTCAAGAAGGTAAGCATGTTGCATTTGTTATGACATCCTGTAAAAAGGCCCGAGCCTTGGCTAATCAAGCATCTAAGTTGCAAAAACCTGATGGTTCATTCATTTTATCACGAGTTTATTTTGGTCAAATGGATGGGAAGCAACGCCAAGATGATTTTGCTAATATTGATGCCACCTGGAGTTCTCTTGACTGTGTAATTTATACAAGTACTGTGGAAGCTGGCATCTCTTTTGAAATCTCTGGATATTTTGATGCAGTTATAGGCATTACTAATATCGCCACTCCGGTTCATGTTGAAGCATTTGCTCAGATGTTATTCAGAATCCGCGACTGTCCATTGCGTATGGTTTCCCTTTATCATAGCAAAAAATTTGATATTTTCAAAGAACCATGTCGGGAACTCATTCGGGCTGAACTTTCGGCATTAAGACCTGGAGACTTACCAACAGCAATCAAAGGCCAGCGTGAATGGGATAAAATTGCTGATTGTTATGCACTTAATCTATCTCCAGCAGTGGAAACCTATATCGAAGTTGAATATCAGAGACGCTTATCGGCCAAATATTTTCCTGAGATTCTTTGCAGTCTTATTGCTAGTACTGGAGCAACACTTGAATTAATTTCAATAGAAGATGCCGAAAAAGTTAACAGGAAAGAAGTTTCTCATACTATTAAAAATATTGAGAAAAAAATTAAAAGTGCAGATGCGGAATTAATAGTTAATGCCCCAGATATTAGCCCCGATGAAGCTGAAATTCTTAAGCAAAATTCTATACGCTCTTTTACTGATAACATGACCTTGCAACGACATTATTTGTGGAAAATATATGCTTCAGGCGATATCGGAGGTAAAAATGATATTCGAAACTGGGGCATGAACAATGATGATTGGATTAAACTTTGTGATAAAGATTTTGTGAAAATATACAATAATCCCGAACCTTTACAACATTTTAGGGGGCTGGCGTATTTCAGAAGACAAGGTTCCAATGCAACAAAAGCTATAGAAAATCTAGAAGTCAAAGAAGAAATGCAATGGGAAGATTCACACGATTCTATGGATCCATCCTCAGTCGATTTGCATAAATTTTATTCAGTAAAACAGTGGAAAGCAATACATAATCTTATTCAATCTATAGGCTTTAGAGATATTGATGATATGAATATTCTTTCTGGCGATGTCGTGGCAAAAGCTTTCAAAGAATCACGGGAAAAAATTGTTAAAATTCGAGAAGAGGCATTATTACTTTTTGGTTTTAAAACCAGAGCTAAAGGATTGCCCGATCTTAATGCTACAATAAAGTTCATTAATGCAATACTAGATAATTGGTGCGGTTATACTATCAAAAGTGGACGAAGAAAAGAAGGACCAAAAGATCAGCGAGTATGGAAGCGCACTTATTGGATTCATCGTGTGTCAGATAATGGAGTTAGTTTTATAACTCAAGAAAGAATAATGGCTATAAAGTTGAATGCTCCTAATTATCACCCTACAGATCCAATTCTTCCACCATATAAACCTGAATTAATCGATGAAACTCAAGAACTTTTCGATTCAATACCTATTACTACTGATATTACTAGCAATAAGATTTGTGAAGAGAGTTCTTGTAATAATATAGCTGAAAAATCCGAGACTCAAAATCAATGGAATGATTCTGAACAATTCTCAAGCATTACTGAAACTAAGATTGAAATACCTGAATCCTTAGCCACTTTGTGTCTGCCTCCGGCAATTTCTCTATCTTCAGAATTTCTTATTAAAAACCGATCTGATGTAGATATTCTTATCTTTTATTTACAAGAAAAATTTAATATGCCTCAAGAAAGATTAGAAAAATGGAAAAATAATATTCTCTTCGAAATGCGGGATAATCATAATTACTGGAAAAAAGAGCGCGAAACCATGAATGAAATCGATTTCTTGGATTACAAGCAGAAGTTTGAAGCTAAAATGAAAGTTCCTACCACTCCGCACAAAAAAGAGTTGAAAAATAAATCTTTAGCTTTCATTGAATATGCATAATTGTTATTTCAAAATAATGTAATT